TTCTTTGTGTATTTCTTTCAGTTGTGAGGGTTAGCCCAGTTTACATCACTCCAATATCTAGATGCAAAAAAAAAAGACTCATCTATATATTCATATATATTAGAACTTATGATCCTATGATATGGGAAACGGTTTTCCTCAGATGGACAGAAAGAGCAAAACAGAAGTCGTCTTTCTTAAATTAACTCCATCTAGTGTATTTTCCGCCCTCCTCAAACTGCCAAAGTATCTTGAAAACAGCTTTATTCAGTCATAAATAAAAATATCAAAAATGTTGTATTTTGTGATTTTTTAAAAATTCCTTGAAAAAATGTAATCTGACTACTCTCTCTGAAGTCAGAGGCATTCAGTTTGAAAGAGATGGTATTTTACATGTAAATGACATTTCAATCCAGGGTCATCTGAATTCAAAATCAGCTTTACCTGCACTTTTGGCTGTATTTAAGTTTAAAATCCCAAATGTGATATTACCAAGTGTGGGCGGGGGAAGATTAGTAAATGCAAATGACAAATTTCCTTTGCTCAAGGGTCTACTACCAAAGGGGGGAGGGAATAATAAACATTATACATAAGGAGTGGTAAGCATTATGGGGATAGCCAGGGTGCAATTTTAAATAGGGCTTGTTTGAGGTGGCATATGCGTAAGAGTATGAGTTAAACTAGTGATGCTTGAGGAAAGAATACTCTAGGCACAAGGAACAACCAAACCACAAAGGTCCTACCTAAAGCAAAGGTCCTACCTCAGTGGTTAAGGAACAATAAGTAGGCCATTAAGGCTGAAGGGAAGCCAACAAGAAATAGAATAGTAGGAAAGGTGTCAAAGATGACTGTGGGGCAGGAGGAAGCTGAGATTTTGTTGGGAATAGTACAGGAAGGCAAGGGTGAAAGCAATGATTTCACTCAAAACAGTAAAATCATTACCATTAAGTTAGAACCAAAATTATAGCTGATCCTCCATGGAGGCTGTAAATTGCATAGGAAGTTATTTCCCATCTTTCTACCTCAGAGTAGCTGGTAGATGCAAACTGTTAAGAGGAACTTCCTTTGGGGTTAGCAGCATGAAGTAAGACACTCACTCACCCAGGAGAATCATGCAGTGTTTTGTTCTGTTCTAACAAACTGTGACCATAAGGGCTTTTATGAAGCAAATACAATTTTTTTTTCATGATTTCAGTGAAACAAATCTTTTCTGCCTAACAAGAAATAATTAGAACTTACAGAAATTTACCTTATAGAAGTTCTTTGCATTGTGCAACAAAAAGTACAAGCAACCAGAATGTTCCTTAGAGGTGTATTTTTATGCAGAACCAGTTCTTGGAAAGAGACTTGCTGTGAAAGGTAGAGGTGGTCAACGAAAGAGAAGACCCCTCAGGAGAAAGTCTGACACAATTACTAGCACAATGGGGTTGGGCATGACAGAGATCATGGGGATGGTGCAGGATCGGGCAAAGTTGAGATCTGCTCATGTTTGTAGGGTCGCTATGAATCCTCACAGTCAATTTGATGGAACCTAACAAGAACGCTGGCCTAGCAAGTTGTGCTTCAAACCCAAAAGCACCCATTCCAAAACCATCAGCTGCTCCATGGGACAAAGATGGGAAATCTCTTCCTAGTCAAACTACAGCCTCAGAAAATCTTCAGGAAGGTCAGCAATGAGTGAGTTCTGAGTTCATGGCACATAACATATACTAAGAAGATGTTGGACAGGTTCTTCCCATAAAGAATCAGAGCCTAATGGATAATCTCTGTGAGATGGTACTGACTTGATGGCAATGAGATTTTGACATAATTACTCACTATAGAAAAGTAATACACATATTAATTTAGAAGCAACTATTCTATTTATCATCCAACCAAAACAAATTCCTTTTGGAGCTAACACTGATTCTTTTTTTTTTTAAAAAAAAGCTTATTTTCTTGTAGGGGAGCTCTGGTGATGATGTAACAGGCCAAAACCAAGCAGTTCAAATCCACCATCTATGCCTGTGCAATTTGTATTTCTTCTGAAAATCTTCTAGAGGGTATACGGTGAGTCAGTTCCAAGACAACAGCAAATAATATATTCTTATAGCTCTTAATGGTACACTAATTCTCTTTAGAAGTTACTTAGTCTCACTTATAAATTTTTTGCCTTTCAAATTTTCCTTCATTGGGTTGTTTTGATGGTGTTTGCTTTTTCTTTTTACAAATTTCCTTTTATGTTCCCAACTTTAAAGGAAGGGGGTTATGCTACCAATTCAAAAGCAAGCCGTTCAAATCCATCAGCTATTCCATGGAGAAAAATGGGCAATCTCCTCCTACACTATGTGCAGGCTTTTAAACCCTATGGAGGGTCTGCTATGAGTAGCTTCTGGTTTGATGGAACATAACAACCACTTCTTTAAAATTATATTCTTCCAACTGATCAGTCATTCCACTTCAGGAAAGGACAACCAAAAAGAAAAACCTCTCACAGTCACAAATAAAAGGTCTCAAAATCTGTTCCTTCATTATACCAAAAACAAGCTGTCATTATCTAGTCCTCCTGGTCAGGGAAAAATTTTCTACAATTTTTTTCCATAAATTCTGAATACTTGCTTAATACTAGGAAAAAGAGGATATAAGGTCAAGCTATCTCATTTGCCTGGAAAGAGGCTAAGGAACTTTGAAGGAAAGTCTGAAATAAAAGTTCAGACCATTCCATCAATATCTGTGCTTTACTCCAAAGAAATCCAGATTTGATTTAAGATTTTTAGACGATTCCCACTGTCACAATTCTTTGGAAAAATAGGTATATATATATATATATATATATAAAATTAACATAAATTCAGTGATTCATTCAATGTTTAAGCACTCATATGCTAGAAATTGTACCAAACAGTAACAGATCTTGATCTCCAGGGATTATACTTTTCATTAAGCTCTGGTGGCCTAGTAGCAAGAAGCTGCACTGCAATCCCAAAGGCACGTGGTTCGAGGACTGTTTGAGGCCACCAACTACTCTGCTGGACAGGCAATCTCCTCCCACGCGATTAAATGCCTCTGAAAACCCACCAGAGGGTCAGCGATGTGTCAGTAGAGATGACTCTACTGTATACAACAATAACAATCCCAGTAACCTGGGATTAGGCAAGGATTCTGAAGCTTCGTCTGACATACTCTGGACATGTTGCAAGGAGGGACCAGTCCTTGGAGAGGAACATCATGCTTCGGAGGATGGAAGGAAAGTGCAGGAGAGGAAGATCCTCTATGAGATAGACTGATTCAGAGACTGGGGTAATGAGGTAGGTCTATTGGAGACAGTGAGATTGACACAGGATAGAGCAGGATTTAGGGCTGTTGTTCACAGGGTTGCTATGAGTCACAGATAACTCGAAGGCATATACAAACAACAACTATAGTAGGCACACAGGGTACCTACTATGTGTCATATGCTGGGAATTCAGAGCTCTTGTGGCCTAGTGCTAAGGAGTTGTACTGCCAACCCACAGGTAAATGGTTCAAAATCACCAGCTGTAAACTGACTGGAGTGTCAACTATGAGTCAGTTCTGACTCCTAGGCACATAACAACAACACTCATGAAGCTTACACTGAGAGAGGAGGGACTGCTTCAGTGATGTGACTTACCCCTAGCTAAAGCAGAACATTCACTAAATTCATTTGTAGATACTGCTTGCAGTTATATGCAAAGAATTCTGTGGGACCATAGCGAAAGAGTTATTCAGGAATGAAAAGAGAAGAAAAGCTTCCAAAGAGATGTTATCTGACAGACAATGAGAGGTGGGGAGAGCAGAGATGTACATATTTTGGGTAAGGCTGGAGCATGAAGTAAAATCATAGAGGGTTATGAATGCTACCTTAAGACAACATTACTGATCTACAAGAAAGATAGCTGATTGGGATTTTCTTGTGTGATGAAACACAAGTTTACAAAGAAATGAGAAAAGAACACTAGATAATGATGTCACCATATGAAACAAAGACTGCCCAGTTGAAAAAATTAAGCCCTTGAAGGAAAAAAAAAAAAAATTAAAAAGAACACAAGGGCTAACAATCCAAACCCTACTGGAAAAAGTCTTCACGCAAAATCATTCAAAATTGGAAAAGCAGAAAAAGAGTGTAAGTGTATATATGATGGATTATTAACATCTGCATGTTCTGAGTTTTCTCAACAAGTTTTTAGTTTCTTATCAATTCTGTAAACACATACTGGCTGCAGTACAAAAGCAATGAAACCTACTAAGAGAAAGTCAAAGGAGGACACCTAATAGTAGTTATTTCTCAAATTGGAGTTATTTCTCAAATTTGGTTTCCAAAGTTTTCAAACTAATCAAGTTTTATTAAGTCAGCACATTTAAAAAGGTGTGTCACTGGGGCGGAGTCCAGTGAGGCATGGTTAAAATATATGTAATATATAAACACATAAACAAACCGCTGGGACTAAAGTTACCACCAATTGGAGAACCTACCCCAAGTAGAGGGAGAAATTAACACCTACCAGATCCAATTAGCACAGACAGAAGGGGAGTGCTGGGGTGGGGTGGGGGGAGGAAGATCACACAAGAAAATACAAATAGGGTGGGTGGGAGGTAACCACTTATCCAGAATCCATAAACCAGTTGGCGTGGTGAAGAAATTATCCCCAAATCCCACAACTCAGTCTCCATAATTCAGACATAAAGGGTGAACAGATAATGTCACTCCCCAACGCCACGAAAGAACAAGACCGTGGCTAAGGGAATATGATGGCATAACTCGGCTTCCCGAACGCAAGGGCAGAATGCCATCCCTACATACGGTGCCAGACGGGAGGTGAGGGATCACCCCTATGCTGGGACTGGAGGGCACTCACCCTCAGACTCAGCCCAAGAAGGGTCAAAAGCCCCAAGGCCTAGGCCTAGTCTGGGCGAGGGCTACGGTAATGGACCGAAGCCCCCTCAAATCCGGACCAGAGCAGCCTCTGATCTTCAGCGCCCCCCCCGCCCCGACCCCTCACACACACACACCCCTCCCCTACCTGATATGGCGGCGGCGGTTCCTGGTCGGGCTCCGTCCCCTCACCAAAGCTAGCCCTGTCCAACTGAGACTCTTGAAGAAGGGAGATGTCATCCGAGGTGGGGGATTTGAGGCAGTTCCCCATCTTCAGGGACTAGGGTGTGTGATCTAGGGGGGGAGGAAAAAAGGAGTGGCAACTCGTTCGCACGCTCGGCGGTCGGGTTCTGTCGGCGAGGTGGGGTCGGGCGGCAGGCCGGAGCTCAGGCAGCGGCGGCTCCCCCGCCCGCCGGCGCCGCCGAGGGGCCGCTCATGCCAGCCCCCGGAGGTGGGGGCTCAAGCCTGGGCCGCAGGCTCCTCTAGGGTCGCGGCGGTAGCCTCCTGCGAAGCGGTGCTGGCGGGGAGACGAAGCACTTCCCCACCCCGCCCCCCCGCGGGGCGGCGGCGGCCACGGAGCTGCTGGGCCTAATCCAGGTCAGGACGGGGGGGCGCGGCCGTCGCGGCTGCCTCAGCTGCTGCTGCTGCCTCAGCTGCTGCCTCAGCTGCTGCTGCCCCCGCCGACGCCGGAGCCACGGCCGCCGGCCTCATCCTACACGGCCTCACCGCGGCTGCGGCCGCCAGAACGAGGCCGGCTGGAGCCCTGCGTCATCCCGCCGTGCGTGCCCTAAGCCCGCCCTCGGCGCCGGGAGGCCTGGGCAGCTCCGGTGGCTGGTTCTCCAACCGCCGCCTCCCAGCAGCTGTTTCTGGGGCTGCGTCAGTTTCTGCTTATGTTTCTATTTAGCTCTGTACCTGACTCGGAACCCTGTCTCCAGTCTCTCTTACCTGCTTAGGTCTCAACCCGTGCGTGGTTCTGACAACCGTCTCACAACCCTCCGCTGCGAGTGAACTATTTATATACGCAAATCTGAATCTTATCATTCTCCGGATTAAAATGTTTATACTGTTGTTGTTGTTGTTATGTTAAACAACCTCCCTTTATTCCATCAGAATAAAGTTCAAGCTTATCAATGAACCCTCCCTACCTCTATGATCACTTTGTTTATTTTCCAAACGTAACCACCTGGGAGAGTCTTCCAGCTGTGTATCCTAAAGAGCATGGATCCTCTTTCTGTTCGCACCACCGCAGTCCAAGCCACCATCATTTCTCAGTAACGACTGCAATTAACCCCTAGCTGTTCTTCCTGCATTCACCATTGTTGTTGTTAGGTGCACTGGTGTTCATTCCGATGAGCGACTTACTAGGCAACAGAACACTGACGGTTGTCTCCATCATCCTCACAATGGTTACTATGTAGGGTCATTGTTGCACCCAGTGTATCTCCATCTGGTTGAGGACCTTCCTCTCTTTTGGTGATCTTCTCCCTGCTTTCCCAACCATGGTGGCCCCCTTCTCTAGAGACTGGTCCTTACCGAAAACTTGTCCAAAGCTACATTGTGTCATCTAATCCACTCTTTGCACAGCAGTTATCTTTGTAAAATCAAATCTCATCATTTCATTCCTTTACTGAAAACTTTCAATGGCTTCCCAATACTGTTTTACCTGAGACCGGGAATGAAAACCAAACCTGGGATCCGTGGTTCATGAAACACCATGCTCTACCTTACCATCTTCCTATATCTTCAGACCCACAATACTGTTTTAACTGTTAATCCTTAAATGGTCTGCAAATCTGCCTATCCTCTCTAATCTCATTAGCAGAGTTGTTCCCTCCCTTATTAGTTCTAAATTCCTAGCTAGGTAATTTTTTTGAAATTGTTCTTTCTGGCTAGATGCTTTATGCAGGTTGTTTCTCTAAAGAAAATCCTTCTCCTCACTTCCTGCCCTCTATCTCCCACAATTAAACACTGACTGCATGGTTCAAAATTAGGAAGGTGTGCTTCAGGAATGGGTCCTGTCTCCATACATTTTCAATCTGTGTGCAGAAGAGATCATTTGGGATGCTTGACTTTATGAGGAGGAGTGCAGCATCAGGATTGGAGGAAGACTCCCCAACAACCTGTGTTATGCAGATGATACAACCTTGCTTGCTGAAACTGGGGAGGACCTGAAGCACTTGCTGCAGAAGGTCAAGAACTGTAGTCTTCAATATGGATTGAAGCTAAACATCATGAAGACACAGATTCTCAACACAGAACAGTGCAATGATGGATGGAGAAGAGATTAAGGTTGTTAACAATTTCAGCTTGCTTGGTTACACAGTCAACACTCTTGGCACCAGCAGTCAGGAAATAAAAAGATGAATTAAACTGGGGAAGTCTGCTGTCAGATATCTCCAAAGTGCTAAAGAGCAATGACATCAGTCTAGAGACTAAGATTCAGTCCATGGTCTTCGCAATTACTTCTATGCATCAGAAAGCTGGACAATGACAGAATTCATTGATGGCTTTGAATTGTTTTGGAGAAGAGTATTAAACATACCATGTACAGCAGGAGAACAGATAGGTCTGTCTTGGAAACAGTGAAACCAAGTTTCTCCTTGGAGCCTAGGATTTTGAAGCTTAGTCTCACATACTATGGGCACGTGGCCAGGAGGAACTGGTCCTTGGAGGACAGCATGCTTGGAACGGTGGAGTAATAGCACAGGAGAAGAAGACCCCGGATGTGATGGATTGACATAGTAACTGGGGCAATAGGATTAGGTGTGCCAGAGTCAGTGAGACTGGCTCAGAATAGAGCAAGATTCAGATATATTGTACATATGGTCACTAGGAGTCGCAGGCAACTCAATAACACATAATAACAACCTCCCACCAGAAGGTATTATTCTCTTTTTTGGACACAACTTCGTATCTTGTCACCCCCCCTCCCCCAGATCCAGCCTCTCCTGACTCTCCCCTCTCCCACCTCTGTGCTCTCACAGTCCCTGAACGTCATTGCCTGTTCCTGATACTAATTTGTTTATTCATTTAGAAAGACTCTTATTTATTGTGTGTTTGTCTGTGTGTCAAACCATACTAGGCCCTGTTGTTATATGTCATTAAATCAGAACCGATTCATAGCTGACCCTTCAGTTGATCAACTCAAGGCAAGATTGCCCATCTTTTACCTATGGAGCATCTGGTGAATGTGAACCAAATGCCTTTTGGGGTGCAGTAATTCCTTGCCCACTAGGCCACCAGAGCAGCCCTTGCTAGGTAGGTGCTAGAGAAATTCATTTACCAAACCTGGCTTGTTCCTGAGCCTAAGGAGCCCAGAGCCCAACTAGAAAAACAAGTGAACATATGAGTCTCTCAACCCCAAAAAGCCTGTCATGAAGGCCCAGAGGACAGCAATCAGTCCATCTGAGTATGGATCAGAAAGGATTCTCAGGTTGCTTTTGTTATTTGTTAGGTACCATTGAGTGGATTCCTATATGCAATGCATACCAACCTTGCCCGATCCTGTGCCATCCTCACAATCTTCATTTTGTTGAAACCCATTGCTGCCTGCTATCCTAACTTTAATACCAATATTCGACAACATCACTGTCTTATCTAAAGGTATTTCTATCCTATATTACATATAACCTTTTTGTTGTAATATATTTTAAAAGACTGTTAGGATTTTGCTTTTGAAATTGTAGGGTTCCTAGGAACTGATTTATAACTGACTAAATTTTCTAGAAAAAAATTGGACTGCCCAAAGAACAAACAAATATGTCTTGGAGAAAGTGAAACCAGACAGTTCCTTAGAGCCAAAGAGGATGAAACTTCATACCACATACTTTGAAAACAGACATTATGCTTGGAAAGACAGAGGGTCAGCAAAAGAGAGAAAGACCCTCAACAAGATGAATTGACACAGAAAATGTAAACAATGGCCTCAAGCATGATAGAGAAGATAAGGATGACACAGGGCAGGGCAGAGTTCAGATCCATTATTCACAGGATTGCTATGAGTCTTGATAATACCTGATTATAACAACAACAACAATAATAACAAGAACACATTTCCTAGCAATTAGAAGTGCTCTGTAATTTTGGCTAAGTGAGAAAATTCAGGTTACAAATTCTTTTGAGATCTAATGAAATTTTCATAAAGAAATTTAGCATAATATTTACATAATGTTAAAGTTGTAAACATAGATTTTGGACAAGTATTCTTTTTTTTTTTTCTTTTCCAAAGGAAAAGCTCACGGACCTTGGGCACTGTGCTTATAGTACTTAGTAAGAAGAGATGATGTTGTTTCTAAATCTCAAAGTAGATTGTTTGCCGGATAGGAGGGGCCTAATGATGGGTTAGTTTTTAGAGTACAGGGTTCCTAAGATAAAAAGTTTAAGAATCCCTTGTCTAAAAAAAAAAGAATCCTTTGTCTAGAATAGCCTTCCTACTCAGTGGATCAACACTATGTAGAGTATTTAGGAAGTGAATAGAAATGCAAATTTTCAGATCTTGTCCAGATCATGTTTTACCATATTTCTCCAGAGAACAATAACAGCCGTCCTCCTGGGGATTTATCCTAAAGAGAAATTTTTAAGTAAAGGAGGGAAAAAGAGATTTCACTGAAGGACAATTTTAATGTTTAATCATAGAATAAATGATTAAGTAATGGTATATTCTCTCCAAGAGGTCTTTTCATAAAATGGTTATCTTCCACACTAGCTCTTTCCTTTTCCTGTTCTTGCTTTCCTCCCTACCCCCTCTTTACAGTATCTAACATTGAATTATAGATTACTTTGTTCATTGTATAGAAATTAATTCTACTGGGCAAGGGTCTTATCTTATTCTCTAGTAACTGTTAGCCTCTAAAACAGTGTCCAGTATATTGCCTGAGAGAACTGTACAATGACTAAGGAGAAGAATTGATGCCTTTGAGTTGTGGTACTGGAGAAGAGCATTGAATATACCATGGACTGCTAAGATAACAAATAGCTTTGTCCTGGAGAGGTAAAAGCCAGGCTGCTTCAAATCCACCAGATGCTCTGCCGGGGAAGGAGGGGCAATCTCCTCCTGTACCAGTCAGATCTGATTTGACGGTACACGCGCACAAAAATAATTTAAAAAAAAAAAAAAGCCAGGCTGCTGCTTGAAGGCAAGGATTTTAAAGCTCTGTCTGACATACTTTTGGCATGTTGCAAGGAGGGACCAGTCCTTACAGAAGGACATCATGCTTGGGAGGGTGGAGGGACAGCACAAGAGAGGAAGACCCTGGATGAGATGGATTGACTGACTTGAGTAATGGGGGTATATGTATAAGAGACAATGAAGTTAGCTCAAGATAGAGCAGGGTTCAGGGTTGTTGTACATAGGGTCGCAAGCAACTTGACGACATGTAAAAACAACAACAACATATTGCCTTTGCATTAGGAAATTTAGAATTGCATAATGCTTCCTGGATCATTTAATATTCTGCCCATAGCATCCTTAAGTACTGCAACTTGAGGCTCAAATTTGTTCTTTAGTTCCTTCA